AAACAACAACAACAGTTCCTACAGCTTTAACCAGAACTTCTCACTTTCATTTCATTGTTTAGTTTAGAGGGAAAGTTTTCAGCTTCAGCAAATTTTATTTTCAACAGTTTAGGTTAATTAGTTGCAGAACAAGAAGTAAAAGGATGAAAACCAGCGTTGTTTTTGACAGCCATCTTTGATTTAATCTTAGTCTTCAGGAATAAAACTATTATTAGTATTAGTCGCATTTTAGTCATTACGAAATGTGATCATTTTAGTCGGTTTTAGTCGACTAAAACTTAAAAAGGTTTTGCTATAGTTTTAGTCAGTTTTATGTTACAAAAAAGTGAACCTTTACAAATAGCAGATCTAGTTCAACGTGTAATTTTGGTTAATATAGCAGAAAGACGAGGACAAAATGTCCAATAAAGGATGAATGATTTTAGACATCCAAGGTTTCCATCCCAAAGAAAACTCTTCCTGATCTACGAGGAATTCATTGCTCCAAAAAAGCAAAGGACAAAAACATACTTCTTTCTAATTTGGTCATTTTGACTTTATTCCTGAGAATTTACCTCTTAGTTACTCCTGCTTACGGGTCAAAGTAGACTTAAATTCACAGTGATATACAAGAAAAAAATACAGAGAACCTACATAATTGCCATGGCAACCCAGTTGAAGTCTTCTGGGGGACTGTCAATGACAGTGAGACCTATGGAGGCCTGGTTGGAACATTTTATGCTAACTAAAATGTTGAAATGTTTAAAGAAAACAGAAAAATCATTTTAATGACATAATTTTACATCATATTTTAATACACAGAAATGAGAACAATGAGAAAGAGAAATATTCAAAGATCTATTTACATTTTCATCTGGATCTTTATCCAATAGAAAAAGAACGCAATGAAATATTTTCTTTGGATATAATTAATCCAATTAATCGAAATACTGGAACTGATCTCAGAAATGTTACCCATCGTCCATCTCATGACATGTCTCTAGATTTCTATGTTTGCCTGTTGGAACTGTTGTCTGTCCACCATGTTTTTTTATTATTTAACGTGTTTCCTCATAACTGAGGCGGGATCATGTAACCATTCAGGGCACATCCTTCATTGCACTCAGATTCCAGACGTTTCTGCAGCTGCTATGCTTGAATAACTGACAGCTACAGGGGGAGTGGGTGTGGGGGGAGTGGGTGTGGGGGTTTCCACAGTGAGTAAATTCTGGGCAGTAGACCATTAAATAAGCAGCTACTTAGAGCCAGGATGCTCTATGGAAGCTGAATCCAGGTCAGTGGGCTTGTTATGTCTCTGAGGAGGACCCCTGAATTGGGTCAGAGAGGAAGCCCCGCCCCCCTATGATCCTCTGCTGCTGCTGAGGCCATGAACCAGAAACTCAACAAACCATTACAAAAAAATTCATATTGTTGTTTTTTAACTTCTCCTTCCTTTGATTTGTTTAATGTTTGTGTGTGATTTGTCTCAGGGGTCCTAAATCCAAGCACTGCAGCGCCTGTAACAAGTGTGTGGCCAACTTCGACCACCACTGCCGCTGGCTCAACAACTGCGTGGGAAGCAGGAACTACAAGTGAGTTTTCCTGTCTGTTGTGTTCACCGTCCGACCGTTGAGGATTGAATCAGGGTGTCTGCAGGTCATTAGAAATCATTTTTAATTAAGGCCTTAATCTGCATTAAAATTCAAAAAAATTTAGAAAAACAATTTAGCCAGATATACCAATTTATTTCAGTTTATTTAAAGTTGACTGAGGATTCACCATGTTATTTATGCACATATATAATATAAATAATGCTGTGGAGCCCTGTTGCTGTGCGGCGCAGCGTTATACCTGAGGCGGTCACAATAGAAGACATGGACTGACCCAAACAACAAAATAACTGAACGATCTGAACATATACAGAGTTTTTTTATCTATACAATTAATTTTGATGGCAGGGAAATATCGCAATATATGGTGATATTGCAATATAGTGATAATATCGTATCGCAAACCAAGAATCGTGACACGGATCGTATCTCAAACCCCACCCCAGTACTCACCCCTAGCGATTAGCTGGTTGACCCCCGTTTGAAAAACCGTGTTACGTCACTGACCTCAGTGGGAAAGAGGCTTTTAGGTTCCATCTTTATGTTGGTCGCCCTCTGCTGAACTCTGGAGAACAATGTAGAAAAACTGTTCTGCTACGTCTTCATTTACGGTCGGTTTCTTTCTGTGACGTCACGTTTCTTTGTGTGACGTCACGTTTCTCTCTGTGGCGTCACGTTTCTTTCTGTGACGTCACGTTTCTTCCTGTGACGTCACGCTTCTTTGTGTGACGTCACGTTTCTTCCTGTGGCGTCACGCTTCTTCCTGTGACATCACGTTTCTTTCTGTGACGTCATGTTTCTTCCTGTGACGTCACGTTTCTTTCTGTAACGTCACGTTTCTTCCTGTGACGTCACGCTTCTTCCTGTGACGTCACGTTTCTTCCTGTGACGTCACGTTTCTTCCTGTGACGTCACGCTTCTTTCTGTGACGTCACGTTTCTTCCTGTGACGTCACGCTTCTTTCTGTGACGTCACGCTTCTTTCTGTGACGTCACGTTTCTTTCTGTGAC